CTAGAGAGTCTCATTCTGTCATTCACTCGCCCGCTTCTATATCTGCGAGAGAAACCTAGCAGCAGCTGCCGTCGTCCCCTGTTCTTGCTCTTTCTTCGCTGATTCTCCTCTGAGCTTCGTGAGGTTCGTTCTGCTCTCTTCCCCCACTGCCGTCTCTGGTTCCTCTTTATTCTTGTTGTTGATATGGTTGATCCTGAAGTGAGCGGTGTTCGTGCTTTGTCTTGCTTGTTGTTTGGTTGTGTGGTGATAGAACCTGTGGAGAGATTGATCTATAGATTTTTTTCCTGAGTGATGTTAAATGATTGTTTGTACCATTTCCGATTTCGTGGTCTCCTAGCGGAAACTGATACTGTGTGGATAGCTTGATTCTGCGCGACTCGTGCTTCTCCTGTTTTTGGGATTGTCTGTTCGATTTCTCTAACGAATTGGTTTCTAATTGCCTTTGAATAAGATTTGAACTATTAGGGTATTAATTGGATTGTGGTTGCAGATGATAGTTGTTACGCTTTGAGATTAATTTGCAGTACTGATTAGTTGGGTAATGGCTTGATGAACACAAACTACAAAACTATGGCCCAGTATTTTCGTACGATAAATTTGGTTATGCTGATGCTATTTGTACCTATGATCTTCTTGCGTTGCTATTTTTGATGTACCAATTGGTTTAGATTGTCCACTGTAGTTGGTCATTTAGGGTTTGTGTCATCTATTGAGCCAATTGAATTTTCTGCTTGCGGTATTGGTACCATAGACCCCCGATCTATGCTGCTGCCTTTTATACATTTATATCTAGTATCAAACAGATATCATCTAGTGGTTAGAATGATGACTTTTCATGTGGGTGTTCCCCTTCAAACTCTGTGCCACAATTTGGAATCGGTACAGGATGGACTCTCTGACCAAGCACGCATTGGTGGTGAAGGTGATGGGTCGGACTAGATCCAGGGTTCAGGTGACTCATGTCAGGGTCAAGTTCATGGACGACCCCAACCGTTTCATCATGAGGAATGTCAAGGGACCAGTGAGAGAAGGCGACATCCTCACCTTGCTCAAGTCCGAAAGAGAGGCCAGGAGGCTTCGTTGACATCCTGCTTTCCTTCTGGTTTGGTACCGTTCTTCCGGTGGATTGTTATTGTGGTGGTTAGTAGTTATGTGTCCCTTAAAACTTAAGAGCCATTGAGGGTTTGTTTACCTCTGATCTACTGAATCAAATTTTTGCTGTCATGGAAGACTTGTAATGTTGGTGTTTATTGGGAGTTTTATAATGCAAGGATGGTTTGGTTCTAGATTGTGGTTGTGTTGACACAGGTTTTTTTTGTTGATTCTACTTGTTGTTGGAGAGGTGGATAGATAGGATTACTAGTTGCTAGACTTAGACCCTAACTTTATTGCTCTATAGAAAATGCGCCTGGCTGCTTGAATGTCATTAACAACATTTTGTGTCATAATATTGCAAGTTAATATAATGTAGAGTATTTCAAATATAAATTTGATTTGATGAAAACTCGAGAAAAGGCTCAGGTAACTTTTCACTCTTCCATTCAGCCTGGCAAGAGATTTTTCCTTGACGTAATAGCAGGGATTGAAACATTCAATTGAAGCAAACCATTTGGCTAATTGTGTGGCTTCATAAGATCAAGTCAGAAGCGTAGACCAGAGCATGCCCAGCCTGTGATAGAAATGGATAATATTTTCCCGAATCTTGATTCGTTTCGTAAGGACAAGGCAGTTCACGGCGGCGAAGCTTGTGTTGACGGCGGCGACTTTGCAGACGAATCGGCGGGATTTGGACTAAGGTAACTGTCTTATTTATACTTTGTTCATGGATATTCATTTTCGCTTCGACAAATTTGAGTTAGGGTTTCATGGCTACGACTTGATCTGGGTTTTCCTTTTGTGGATTTGTCTTCATGGATATTCATTTTCGTTTGGATAGATTTGAGTTACGGTTTCATGGCTACGATTGGGTTTTCCATTTGTGGATTTGTCTTTTGGGTTCGTGGGTGAAATATTTATTTTGTGGTAATTTATATGTGTCACTGGATATGTGTTCGTTCTTCTGTGGATGTTATATATGGGTTTTGTAGATTTGCTTTGTGTTCCTTCCGATATTTGTTCTGTTCGGCAAGATATGCGTTCTGGTCCTTCTGGATATTTGTTGGTTTTTGCCTGGTTGTTGTTTGATGTATCTTGATATTGGTTTTGTTTGAGCATGATATCAGTTATGACTTCCTTGGATAGTTGTTTGATAGGATCTGGGTATTTGTATGTGCAGGGATTTATCAATGGCAAGGACTAAAACAACAAAGAGGAAACAGCGACCGACTCCACGTCAGCCATCACCGCCGCCACAGCCAGAGGAAAATGAGGAAGAAGAAAATGCTGAAGTCGAATCAAGTGGACATGCACAAGAAGATGCTGAAGTCGAAGCAAGTGGAGCTGCAGAAGATGCTGAAGCTGAAGCAGAAGGAGCTGCACAAGGAGGAGCTCGATGTAAAAGCAAGGCGAGGTACAGATTTCGGTGCACTCTAAATCTCTGCTACATATTATAATATGTTTTGTGTGCGTTCCGATATTATTTATTATGATTCTGGATATACATTGTGTATTGCTTGGATTGTTTCTTTGATATTTCTGGATATTGGTTTTTATCAACTTGATATCAGTTGTGAATTGCCTGGATAATTATTTGACATATCTGGATATTGGTTTTTCATCAGCTTGATATCTGTTGTTATTTGCCTGGATAATTGTTCGATATAGCTAGATATTGGTTTGTGAACAACATGATATCAGTTGTGACTTGCCTGGATAATTGTTTTATATATTTGGATATTGATTTTTTTACCAGCATGATATCTGTTGTGACTTGCCTGGATAATTGTTTTATATATTTGGATATTGATTTTTACCAGCATGATATCTGTTGTGACTTGCTTGGATAATTGTTTGATATATCTGGATATTGGTTTGTGATCAGCATGATATTAGTTGTGACTTTCCTGGATAATTGTTTTATATATTTTGATATTGGTTTTTTACAAGCATGATATCTGTTGTGACTTGCTTGGATAATTGTTTGATATATCTGGATATTGGTTTGTTATCAGCATGATATTAGTTGTTACTTGCCTGGATAATTGTTTGATATCTTCTGGATATTTGTCCGTGCAGGGATAAAACGAACGTGACGAGATAGCGACGTAATCCACCGCTGTCACCACCGCCACAGCCAGAGGAGGATGAGGAAGAAGAAGATGTTGAAGTCGCCCGACAAGTTCACATTCTAGGACAAGGCAAGCCATGGTACAGATTTCAGTGCCACACCAAATCTCTGCTAGATGTTATAAAATATTGGAAGGAAGAGCCAAGGTACTATGAAGCTTGCAAGAAAGAGTTGGAGAAGGCTGGATTTGGAGGGCTATTGGAGCTTCTTCTGGCAAATGTCCCTAAGAAGTTGTTCGATTCGTTGATGGCACAGTTTGATGTGCACACCAATTCATTCATTTTCGGTGAAGGGGATAACAAGAAGGTGCTTACCATCGAAGCTGAGGATGTTGCCCGTGTATATGGGCTGCCTATTGGTGGTGTTGAGATTGATGTCGTCAAGGCGAACGACAAGATGTTTGAGATGTTCAAGGAAGAGCTGAACATGGAGTGTACTCGTAGTCGAAATGTAGAAGTTATGGATCTTCGAGAGGCAGCCTGTGGTGGTCCAGATCATGCACCAGAAAGGAGACCACCTGTTGCACCAGCGGTGAAGCAATTTTTGTTGCTGGCTCTTGGTTCGATGCTCGCCCCAAAGATGTCACGACTTTGTGATCTCGATTATGCAGAGTACATGGTTGGAAGGGTGGAGGACATTGCCACTTTTAATTGGAGTGGTTTTGTTGCCCGTCATCTGAAGTTTGAGTTGTGTCGGGTTAAGGAAAAAAAAGCTGAAGCTAGAGCGGGTGGGAAACAGCAATGGCCTCTCGGCGATATCCACTTCTACTTTAACATTGTTGATATTGTTTACTTTATTGGTTGATATTAGTTAACATTCTAGGGATAATAGTTCATTTCATTTTTTATATCTGTTCTGAACGTTTTTTTGTAGATCCATTTGTTAGACTTCCTTAATGTGAGAGGGTTTGCCACCAAAATCATCCCGACCTGCAGCTATTGGTTCGACCCAAGGGTGGATAAGGTGTGCTCGAATATCCCCAAGGTAGCTGACAAATATATCATGGGTCCCATGTTGTTGTCAAGGGAGGAAGTGAGACCCCGCTTCCGTCCAGAGCGTGTCAGGAGGGATTGGGAATCAGGGTCGAGCAGCTCGGCTCCTGCTACTGATTGGTGGGCGGATGTTGACTTGGAATCCCTTGAGGACGATGAGGTATGTAGATCTTCTCTTTGCATCTCAAAATCGTGGGTTAATAGACATGGGTGCATGTAGTGAACTAAATTGTTTTTCAATATATGTGTAGCTTAAGGTGGAGTCATTGACTGAAAAAGTGATGGATGTATGGGAAACAAGGCGGGATAGTATCTGGAGAGTCGCCATTATGCGCCGTCAAGGAAACAATTGAACTTTGCAATTTTCTTCTGTTTAAGTGGATGTTATAATTGCCATGTTGGAATGGCTGAACAAAAGTTTGTTTACTTGTTAAGGATCTGTTACTTTTATGTATTGGATATTACTTTGTCCTTTGTGGAGAGCAAGTGCTTGATGTTTGGATATTACTTTGTTCTGTCTGGATAACAGTTGCACAATGTTTGGATATTTTTATTTCCTGTCTAGATAACAGGCGTCTCTTGTGTGGATATTACTCTGTGTGGTTTGGATAACAGTTTCTATATTTTGGATATTACTCCTTGCTGTCTGGATAACAGGCGCCTCTTGTCTGGATAGTACTCTATATTAGTTGGATAACAGGCGCCTCGTGTTTTTTCAGCGACCAATACGAAGAAGGAAGAGGGGCATATTGGCGAAATTGGTTCCCGTGACCAAAGGGGAAATGGAAAATGAGGGATACGTGAAAGGCAAGAATATGTTCAGTCGCGTGTACTCTCAGAGAATACGTGAGAAGACTCAGGAGGAGCCTGAGGTGGTTATGGAGCCAGATACAGTGGTCGAGCCTGAGGTGGAGTCAGAGGCAGTTGTCGAGGTTGATGTTGATGCCTCTGTTGTTAAGCCGAGTGATGAGGTGGAGGTGGAGTCTGTTGTCGCTACTGAGGTGGAGCCAGAGTCAATTGTCGAGCTTGAGGTGGAGGTGCCTGTTGTTAAGTCGAGTACTGAGGTGGAGGTGCCTGTTGTTGATCCGGAGGTTCAGCATACGGAGTCCATTTTTGGTCAAGTGAATGTAATGTTGATTGCTCTCCAGACCGCTGCTGCTGCTGAAGAGAGTATAGAGACACCCCCGTCTACGGTAAATTCTGGAGGATACAAGTAGTGTCTGTTCTTCCTGGATATTTCTTTCTTTTTCATTGGATATTAGTCTGTTCTCCCAGGATATTTGTTTTGTTTTCCTTGGATATTAGTCTATTACTCCTGGATATTTTTTCTTGCACTTTGGATTCTAGCTTAGGCTTCCTGGATATATGTTTCTTTTTCTATGGATAGTAGACTGGGAAGCCAGGATATTTGTTTTGTTTTCTTTGGATATTAGTCTGTTCTTCTTGGAGGTTTTTTTTCTTATTCTTTGGATACTATACTAGCCTGGGAAGATGGTCATACCTTTGGCATTGTTTTGCAGATACCTTCCGAGGATATTGCTACTGTGTTCGATCCTTCTACTGAGGTTCTAACGCAAGGAGAAGCAGCACCATCAGAGGGGGAGCTTATAGCAGCAGCATGCCAGAGGATGCTGGAGGATAGCGACGATGATATTCTCGTAAGTGAGAGGCCTATGACTCAGGAGGAGGCAGAGTTTATGCACTCTATCACACCAGAAGCATGGAAGGCAACTCTTAAAACTCTTGCATTCGAGAGGTCAAAACACCACCCAATCGACTCATCAGTGTACGTTTTGGCAAAGTCTTTTTTGACGAAACGACACAGCAAGTGGTTGAGTTCATCTTTAGTACCACATTTGAAGATGAGTAAGTTGTCATGTTTCCTTCTTTAATCGCCAATTTCAATCTGTCAAATTCATGGCTACTAACCTGGCTTTTCATTTGTGTTTTACAGTCACGACTTTATCGTGGAAACTCCAAAGGGAAAGCTTAGCGGTTGCCAAATATTGTCATTGAAGCGTAAAAGTTGGGTTCATAGCCAAGTCCTATACGTATACGGGCAATTCCTAAATCACCAAGAAGAACATAAGGAGATGGTGAAGAGAATTGTCTTCCCATGGAGCTATGTGGTAGGTATTATCTTCACTACTTAGATCCTATTTATGTTTAAAATGTCTAATTTGATATTGTTGTCTCTTCTAAATAGCAACATGTCGTCGATGATGCTAAAAAAAACAACCAATGGACAAGGCGAGAATCTCGGGGTATATTTCTTTCCACAAGAATAATCCATTGCTGAAACGAGAAAACTTGGAAAGATGTGATTATGTAAGTGTCTTCAATGTTTGGATATTTTTCTGACTTTCCTTGATATTGGTCTGGGTTTATAGGATATTTCATTCTTCTTTGTCGGATATTATTCTGCGTTGTTGAGATATTAATCTGGGTTGTTAGGATATTAGACAATGATTAACTCACTAAATGTATTGTGTTTCAGATCTTCTTTCCAATGTTTTGAGATGATCACTACCGAGTGTATGTCGCTGACATGAAGAATAGGAAGACTTTTCTACTAGACAGCCAAAAGCCCAATGGCCGAGTGGCTAAGGAGGATCATGGACCAGTGGGGAAAGTGATTTTTGAGTATGTGATAGAGTTCTTCAAAGAGCAGAGGGTCGACTGTAAATTGGATGAGTGGGAATTCAGCATTGCTGACGTTCCTCAGCAATTTGGCAACGATGATTGCGGTGTATTCGCTTGCCTTTACATGGAGCTACGGGTGGGTCACCTTCCGGTGGAATGTAAAAACAGTTGGCACAAGCAGGAACATGTGGAGGAACAACGAACACAGATTGCAGCTAACCTCCTGTTATGGAACTATAACGGCCACAAGAATGCAATAATTCAAAAAGCAAAAGATTGGAGTATGCAGAAAGAGAAAGGGAAAAAGAAGGCAAAGTAGGAGAGGATGATGGTTTGCATTAGGATGGAGGATATTTTGGTAGATATTGACATGTGAATCCAGAATACGTTTTTGTGCTGCAGTAGATATTAATCCACTTGTTATGGATACTTGTCTGGGCAAACTTGATTCGTACTGTAAATGTACAGATATTAAATCACATGTGACCTCTTTTGCTACCGTACTCATGTGACCTTTTTTGCATTTGTCTATTTAAGACAAATCATACACAACCCCAAATCGGATATTTATCCTGCTGCAAAACATCATACCTCCCTAAATTTTATCCAACCCTAAATAGCATCCATCCCTAGATATTATCCAAGCCTAAGTTCCTGCACATGTGGCTAGTGAAAGAAGTAATCATTGGTGCTATTGAACCCCTGCTTTTGATAATACTGGTAACCAGAAAGTATTTACTAATATCCATGCACACTGATAATAAATATCCAGATAGCCCAGAAAGGTATCTGTTACAAGTGGATTAATATCCACTTCATCAAAAAAACGTATCCTGGAATCACATGTCAATATCAGATCACAATAGATCACACTCGACCCCCCCCCCCCAACATTATATTCATTACCATTGAGCAATAGTATCATCCAAATCACTAAGATGGCCATCCGGTTGAGTATTGTTGTCCGGCGTGACCGCCTCATTTGATTTCATTCTCTTCCTATAGGAACGTTTCTTTCGACGGCGTTCCTTTTCATTCTTAGACTGGTAACGTTCCTTACCGTTGCTCCTTGGATTACTCTTCTCCTTCAAAGTCAGCCCAGTTATCGGTATAGACCGTCCTACAATGTTACAAAATTTAGTAAATGAAATGATATTAAACTCCAACAATTTACAAATAATATTAGTGAATACACTTACTGTCCTCGCTAGTTATAGTCTTTGACAATGCCTTGTTTTCCTCATTGCACAGTTTCTTGAGTACTCCCATCCACTTATCGTAGTCTTTCTCCTCGGCCATCGACAGTTTCGTTGCTAGCTGATTCAACATTGTAGTGGTTTCTCGGTACCGCATTGCTATACCTTTTCCCGCATCATTCTCACTGTCAGCTGAAGGACCAACACAACCATCAACATCAACAACCACTTTCTTTCTCGCCTCCAACGTCCATCGCTCGAGTATGTAATGATCTGGAATACTTCTCATACTGGCTTCCCTAAAATCTCCAAGATGCCGCATCACTTTAATCATGTGACGGCATAACACTCTGAAAGTTCTGAACATCCTACACATACCAATGTCCTCGTAGAAATATCAACGAGAACGACACGCTCATCACTACGCTCACCATCCTCTATCATATATGTGAGGTAGCCAATCATGCCATCATCCCTAGTATCTGAGAGCGTCTCCATTATATAGGGTTCAGTTTTCAAATACTGCTTTTGTATCCGAGTGAAGATGTTAGGAGTAAAGACCTTTGCCGCATGTTGTAGGATCGGGCTATCCTCCAACATAATATAAGGAACCGATTGTTTCCCATTGTAGTTTGACTCGGTCTCCTTGCATCTTTTTTCAGCCAACAAACTACATTTACAAAGCACGAGAAAGAATTTAGTGCCCAGACTAATATTCACTTATCAAACCAATACTAATACCCAACTACACAAATAAATATCGTTCCAATAGCATATAAATATCCGGACAACGCTGAAAAATATCGAAAACTTAAGTACACTAATATCAAAGAAAGGCAAAGAAATATTCTGCATACCTGCTAAAGTGAATGAAAAACAAGTCCAAATCATGCTTTGGTTTCAAGAAAAGTCGCACTTGTGCATTGCACGACTTGCTTATTTGCGTAGTCAACATCCTGGCTGTGAATTGATCTCTCAAACATAAGGAACACCATCGACGACGAAATTTCTTCAAATATTCCAACCATGGGTGACCGTCCGCAATTTTGCTATTAGGGAAACAATCAGCAACCATTGTGCTCCAGGCCATGTCTAACTCTCTCTCACTGTCGATGTCGGAGAAAATATAAGAAATATGAGTTTGGAACTTCTTCCAAAATGCCTTGTCCTTACGAAGATGCTTCTTCGCATTCATGAGGATGTGCCAAGTACAGAGTGCATGAAACACAATAGGCCACTCCTTTCTAAGGGCAGCTGCCATGGCAGCGTCCTGATCATTAAAAATAGTGACTGGGAGCTTCTTCTTCATGCACCGACTAAATGCTAAAAACAACCATTCAAAAGACGGTGTAGTCTCATCATACATCAAACAAGCACCAAACACACAAGTTTGACGATGGTGATTGAAACCTACAAACATCCCTGCAAAAGACAACTATTAATGACAATGCATAACCGAACGAGTGTCGAAAAAACTTAAGGGAATTAGGAATTGATATTGTCCCAACACATGTCAACAAATATCTGTAAAACCCATACTAGTATCTAATAATGCCATACCAATATTCGTCCTTATACAAAAACATATCCTGTCAGGCCATGTCAATATCGGATCACAAGAGACCACTCTTGAACCACCCTACATTCTATTCAATACCATTTCTGTAATATACGTACAAACATCCATGCACAAGACAACTATTACTCACAATCCATAACCGAACGAGTGTCGAAAAAAATCAAGGCAATTAAGTGATTCACGTACCTAGTGGACGGAAGTATTTATTGGTTCGGAAGGTGGTATCAAAGGAGACCGAATCTCCAATAAGCGCATAATCTTCACGCATCCTACTGTCCGCCCAAAAAATAGTAGCAACTTTCTCCTCGCAATCTACCTCTACAGCATAAAAGAAGCCATGATGCTTTTCCTTTTGGTCCTCAAAGTAGTCAAGCAAATAAGTCGCTTCGCCACGAGCCATTTTCCTTTGCCTTTTACTGTTCAAGTGGTTCTTCTGATCAGATATGGAAAATTTCAGATTTTGATAGCCACCAGCACAGTCAGCCAATAACTGATACGATGCACTAAGACTCATCCCGGCATCGCGATTAGCTTCGGCCATCTTTTTCTGAGCATCACTCATGCACTTGTTGGACTTGATAAGGTGTGTATGCTCGGTGGAGTGCAAATAATGATTGTGGCCTCCCACGAATTCATACACCACATATCCGTCTCTAGCTTCATCCCATCGAAAACGAACACGGGCACTACATCCAACCCTAACTCGAGGCCTCTTTCTTTTAGGACGCTTTCTCTCCACAACTTTGTCTTCGGATTGTTTTTGTTTCTCCACTTCTACTTCGCTAGTGGAAGTCCAACCTTGCTTATTACAAAAGTAATAAAGGTAGAAATAAATTTTCTCCACCTCTCCATTAGAATTCTTCATTTTTTGTTTTTTGGTGTTGAGCACCATTTCGAACACCAAAACCCTTTTGGTGAGCATAGCGTTTATAGAAAGCCAAACACTCTTTCTTAGTCCGATAAAATATGTTCTTCCTCATTTCCTCATCTTCTAGGTCCGATGTCTTGTGAGCTGCGATTTAATTGTATGAAGCCATGTTAGTATCCACATTTAACTTGCCCAGACAATTACCCAACATGCCCACAATAGTATCAACTAGACTTCTAAATCATACCCATAAACAGACTGAATTCTTATGCTTCGACAAGTATCCAACCTTTAATTACATCGTATCCTTTTGTTCCAGAAACGTATCAGTAGCCTCCACCAGAATATCCAATATACCCAAAATAATATTTAACCTATCCCTAAACGTATCCATGACACTCTAAAGAATATCCATACCCAAAAACCAAAAAAAATATCAAACCACTTTCATCACGTCCATATTAATATCCAACATGCCCAGGTATCTTAGATGGTTTTACAATGTATCCATGACAACAGAAAATAATATCCACACCCAAAAACCCAATGAAACAGGAGGTTACACCCAAAATAATATCAACACCATTAAATGACATTCAATGCACACAACAAAACTCAACAACACAAACATATATATATATATATATATATATATATATATATATATAATAGAATCCACCTTCACTTTCTTCTTCTTCTTCTACAATGAAGTCACCCACACCATCTGAGTCTTGATCAACAAATTCATCTATTGTAGGATCGAGTTCTTCTTCTTCTACAATGAAGGCAGCCACACCGTCCAACTCGCTGTCGTCGTCGAAAATCATCCTTTCTCCAGATGATCTGCTCGCCGGAAGGAGAGGCTCGGCGGAAGGAGAGGCTCGCCGGCAAGGAGGGTCTCGCCCGCAAGGTTGAGTAGAAAATTAAAGGAAAAAAGGAGAGAGAGAGGGGTTAGAGAGTGAAAGTGGTGGTTGAGATCATAAATGCCACCTTCCCCTTTTGTTCAACAAATATCCCCATTCCCCATTCCTTCTTCAGCAAAATGGCGCCCAAAATTCTTCCCCAAAGCAAAATGGGCCGAAACATGTTTAATGAGCCTTCGGCCCATGACCCGAATTATTCCTCCCTTCTCCAACTTTCCCTCCCAAAATTTTGGCCGCCCCAAAAATCTGCCCACCTCCCGCCCAAAATTTCGGGCCGCCCAAAAACCGCCCACTTCCTCCGCCCATAATTTCGGCTCGCCCAAAAAAGCGCCAGGCCCTCTCTCCTCTCGGCTCATGGGTCAGTGATACTATCAGAGTTTCCATAATGATTTTCATGCCCATATACTACTTGAAAGAGATCATTGCTTGTGACATACACAAAATCAAAATTTTCATTGTAGCATCACTGAATATTTTTCAGAAATGAAACTAGAGACTCCACATAACACCGATCAAAGTCCTCTGGAGTCCAATTGACTTGTCAAGCTTAACCCTAATACTAGGGATCTTCCACTTTTAACCTCTGGACCTTTTGAAATACCAAAGCATACTCTAACAAGATAGAGTTCCATCTAGTCTCCACAGAAAAGCACACAAGTTTTTAGTATCTTAACTTCTATTCATGATGGGCACAAGTCTTAAATCTATGCATTCTCTACAACTTGCTGATTCGCTTGAGAATTCGACATTTAGAGACACAGGGGAACTTCACAAGGTGAAGAAGATCGGTCCTGCCCTCTTGGGTGTCGTAGCTCACTTAGTCCAAGGTTTCCATTCCAGTCTTTTCAAAAGACTATGCTTCCAGCGAGTGGCGCCCCAGAGAGCATGCCAATATATGTGGTAAGAGCATGGACCAGGAAATCGAATCAAACTGGCCGGTTCAACCTAAAATTCGGGAACCGGACCAGAAGCGAAATGGTAGGCTGCCAGTGGCCTTTTTACCGTGACGGCCGATTTTTTCGGTTTTTACGGCAAGAAACGAAATACCGTCCGGTTTTGTAGTAACCGACATTGGACTATTCTCAGTAAAATGCCGCCGTTATACGCAACCAAAATAAAGAAATAAAAAATTGGCGTCCAAATAAGTGAATAACAAACACCCAAAACCCTAATCTTTAAATAACCGAGCAAATCAAAACTCAAAAGTAGAAGCTTTCATCGTTCCTTTTCTTCCCCCGCCCCGCCGCTCCACTTCTCCTCTGGCGAGTGGCATCATGCGACTGACGAAAGGGACGAGGCGACCCGTGATCGGCGAGCAGTTTCTTGAACCAAGTCGGAGATAGAGAAAATCTCAGCGGCGGTAGACGGGGTGAGCTTCAGGAGACGGTTGCCTAGATGCAGAAGGTTCCGCCTCTCTCACTTTTTCTCTCACAAATCATTGCAGGAGATAATATTGAGAAGAAGATGAGAACTGTAGGAAGGTTCCGCCTCTCTCACTTTCTCTCGCACAAATCATTGCAGGAGACAACCAACAAGAAGGTTCCGCCTCTCTCACCTCTCTGACCTGCCCTATTACCTTCACTACTGAGTCTAAACATGACATTCTTTCTATGAGCAGAAGATGTGAAAACGCTTTGTTGAATTGCCACCTAACCTAAGTGATTGTTCCGTCTCAAACTGCCTTAAACGAATCAAGATTCGGGAAAATATTATCCATTTCTATCACAGGTTGGGCATGCTCTGGTCTGCGCTTCTGATTTGATCTTATGAAGCCACACAATTAGCCAAATGGTTTGCTTCAATTGAATGTTTCAATCCCTGCTATTATGTCAAGGAAAAATCTCTTGCCAGGCTGAATGGAAGAGTGAAAAGTTACCTGAGCCTTTTCTCGAGTTTTCATCAAATCAAATTTATATTTGAAATAATACTCTACATTATATTAACTTGCAATATTAGGACACAAAATGTTGTTAATGACATTCAAGCAGCCATGCGCATTTTCTATAGAGCAATAAAGTTAGGGTCTAAGTCTAGCAACTAGTAATCCTATCTATCCACCTCTCCAACCACAAGTAGAATCAACAAAATAAACCTGCATTAACACAACCACAATCTAGAACCAAACCATCCTTGCATTATAAAACTCCCAATAAACACCAACATTACAAGTCTTCCATGACAGCAAAAATTTGATTCAGTAGATCAGAGGTAAACAAACCCTCAATGGCTCTTAAGTTTTAAGGGACACATAACTACTAACCACCACAATAACAATCCACCGGAAGAACGGTACCAAACCAGAAGGAAAGCAGGATCTCAACGAAGCCTCCTGGCCTCTCTCTCGGACTCGAGCAAGGTGAGGACGTCGCCTTCTCTCACTGGTCCCTTGACATTCCTCATGATGAAACGGTTGGGGTCGTCCATGAACTTGACCCTGACCTGAGTCACCTGCCCCCTTGATCCAGTCCGACCCATCACCTTCACCACCAATGCGTGCTTGGTCTGAGAGTCCATCCTGTACCGATTCCAAATTGTGGCACAGAGTTAGCAGGGGAACACCCACATGAAAAGTCATCATTCTAACCACTAGATGATATCTGTTTGATACTAGATATAAATGTATAAAAGGCAGCAGCATAGATCAGGGATCTATGGTACCAATACCGCAAGCAGAAAATTCAATTGGCTCAATAGATGACATAAACCCTAAATGACCAACTACAGTGGACAATCTAACCCAATTGGTACATCAAAAATAGCAACGGAAGAAGATCATAGTTACAAATAGCCTCAGCATAACCAAATTTATCGTACGATAATACTGAGCCATAGTTTTGTAGTTTGTGTTCATCAAGCCATTACCCAACTAATCGGTACTGCAAATTAATCTCAAAGGGGAACAACTATCATCTGCAACCACAATCCAATTAATACCCTAGTAGTTCAAATCTTACTCAAAGGCAATTAGAAACCAATTCCTAAGAGAAATCGAACAGACAATCCCAAAAACAGGAGAAGCACGAGTTGCGCAGAATCAAGCTATCCACACAATATCAGTTTCCGCTAGGAGACCACGAAATCGGAAATGGTACAAACAATCATCTAACATCACTCAGAAAAAAATCTATTGATCGATCTCTCCACAGGTTCTATCACCACACAACCAAACAACAAGCAAGACAAAGCATGAACACCGCTCACTTCAGGATCAACCATATCAACAACAAGAATAAAGAGGAACCAGAGACGGCAGTGGGAGAAGAGAGCAAAACGAACCTCACGAAGCTCAGAGGAGAATCAACGAAGAAAGAGCAAGAACAGGGGACGACGGCAGCTGCTGCTAGGTTTCTCTCGCAGATATAGAAGCGGGCGAGTGAATGACAGAATGAGAGTCTCTAGGGTTTTAGTAAGGAGGGAGGATCCAGATTTTACCGTTTCGTCCAAGGACGGGCTTTTCCAAAGTGGGGGTAGTATGGTAATTAGAGCCAATTTGGTCGACGGCTGGTTCCCCTAATGTGTTCGGCCCATGCGGTAGTTCGGCCCGTGTTCGTAATTATTGGGCCTGATTACTTCTGGCCTCGCGTCGCCCGGCGGTCCACATGCTTATGGTCGTCGGTTTTAAAATTAACTCTTTATTTCGTTGAATTAGCCAAAATTTAGGTTGTTGCAACTTGCAACCAGCGGGAGACGAAGAAGAATGACGCCCACCTCCCACTCCCAACCATTTCTAACACTCCTCTTCAATTTGTAACACACTTGGGAGCTCCTCCAGTTTTGGCTCTGTTGCTTTTAGATGGAGCTCACCTGCTCTACTTCTTCTTTTGCGAGAATTTCAGCTACAACCATTCATTCCAGCGCTTCTTATCATCTTCAGACCAAGATACCCATCAAGCCCAAGTGTCTCCCGGGCTTGCTCCTCCGAGGCTCAAAACTTTCGATTCCGCCAAGACTTGGGTCTCAAAGAAACTGCTCTCAGCGGGTGGCTAGCAGGGCGCGCAGGAGTAATTCCATCTGGGTATGTTATTAAATTGTGAGTTGCGGTCTGTGGTTCTTCTGGTTTCTGTAGACTTATGAGCGACATTGGAGTAATTCGTGTAGCTGGAAATTTTTCTTTGGATTTGATTCTCCATTAGATTACTTCTCGCTCAGGCATTCTGAAACAGCAAAAATGAATTTAGTTGCTTTCAACTTCAATGGAGTGGAGGAATGGCGGTTGCCCTTTGTTGTCTTGTTCTTTGTCGCATGGATTAGCCGGATTTTACCTTACAGAATTATGGTTCATAAGCAAATTGACAATCCCCTTCGAAAGGTTTAATAGGATTTTGAATTTGCTTGGAAGATGCTTTCTGAACTGGCATTCCTGACATTTGAAGTTGCACTGCTTGTGGCTTTAGGCAGTCGTAAGGAAAATTTTGTTACGTCTGACACTTCCGATCTCATACTAATGTAAACAATCGATGGTCTGATGGTCCGGGAATCACTAAAGTAAGATGACATCGTTTCTCAATGGATGTGCAAGTTGAAAGATCTTTTGTATCTACAGCAGCCATGGATTAGCCGGATTTTACCTTACAGAATTATGGTTCATAAGCAAATTGACAATCCCCTTCGAAAGGTTTAATAGGATTTTGAATTTGCTTGGAAGATGCTTTCTGAACTGGCATTCCTGACATTTGAAGTTGCACTGCTTGTGGCTTTAGGCAGTCGTAAGGAAAATTTTGTTACGTCTGACACTTCCGATCTCATACTAATGTAAACAATCGATGGTCTGATGGTCCGGGAATCACTAAAGTAAGATGACATCGTTTCTCAATGGATGTGCAAGTTGAGAGACTAGAAAGATGGTGTTCATTTAATGGTTCTCCCTCCCCTCATGTTATGATGAATTTGAATTAGCTGCTACAGACTGGTAGTTTCATCAATGTCATGAATGTAGTCTTAGATTACTTGCTTGAAATCTCCATGAGACTCATGGCTCATGTAATTGGAATCTGGGTTCTACCAGGCCTGCAGTCAAGTTGGAGCTGGGTCTGATCATGTAGTAACCAAGTTCTCGAATTTCAAAGATGCATGCTGGAGATTTCTGAGGCCCCATACGATACGTGGAACGGCTTTAGGGTCCACGTAAGTCGTGTTATCATGTAATTTAGCGCTTTTGCAATTGTCACCAGCTACTCATGCATGTTCTTCTGCTTGTTCATATTACTATATTATTTCATGTGTTAACAGTGCTTTGGTGGCAAGAGCATTGATTGAGAACCCAGAGCTTATAAAATGGTCTCTTGTGGTAAAGGCATTCTCTGGCCTTCTTGCTCTACTGTGTGGGAACGGGTATATAGTTGGCATCAATCAAATCTACGACATCGGAATAGATAAGTATGGGCCACATTTCCTCTTCTTCTGGCTCGTAGAAGCTCAAACTATTTGTGTCTTAAAATTTCTGCTGTGTCATTGTGGTAGAAGTGTGTTAGTTTATCTCTCTTTATTTTGCAGGGTTAACAAACCTTATTTACCTATTGCTGCTGGGGATCTTTCAGTCCCAACTGCATGGATGTTGGTGATACTTTTTGCAGTGACGGGTGTTCTCATTGTTGGACTGAACTTTGGTCCATTCATCACTTCTCTTTACTGCCTTGGTCTTTTCCTGGGCACCATCTATTCCGTCCCTCCGTTTAGAATGAAGAGATTTGCAGTTGCAGCATTTCTTATTATCGCAACGGTATTCCATTAACTCCCTGTTGTGTTTGATGTGACTACTTCATTTGAATATCTTGTTCTTGAACCATCACCAATTTTGTCTGGAACCATAAGCTGGCATTCCATTTTTAATACCCTCTTTTGTTAACCTTTTCCCCTTTGGCATAATAACTAACTAACTAACAACCTTTGGAATCCTGCAGGTACGAGGTTTTCTTCTCAACTTTGGTGTCTACCATGCCACAAGAGCTGCCCTTGGTCTTCCATTTGAATGGAGGTGCATATATTTCTTAGTTACTCACTGCTTGTGATGGAGTTGAGAAAAATAAACTAAATGGATGATATGTTTTGGTGAGTTAGCTTTATTTGACAGAATGAAGGGATGAACTTATTAACGATTGCTTTAGATTAGGCTTTAGAGCTTCATGAAATAAGCCAACATGCCCTTTCAGCTTATCGTGTACCCTATTTGGCATTTTGGAACTTACTACTTGAACTAGAACCCTTATACATCTCCATATCTTGTTATGTCAATCATTTTCTTATTCATTGTCAGAGAATTTAACATACTCGTTGAAGTCTATTTTTTCATCTGTTTTCAGAAGTTACAATTTTGTGATACTTTTGTCTCACATTGTGCTTTAATCTATATATCTGGCAGTTACCCTGTGGCATTCATTACATCCTTTGTGACACTTTTTGCTCTGGTCATTGCTATAACAAAGGACCTTCCAGATGTAGAAGGGGATCGCAAGTGAGTCATATGTCATTCGTTTGTAATGACTTCTCTAGTTCAGTTTGAAGTTTGAACAGCTTTTTAGTCTTTTTAATTACAGAAAACAGCTTTTTAGTCTGATTACTCATAAATTTGCACTTCTATTTTCAACTCCTACTCATAGTCTCTAATCGAGTCTAATATTATATTGTTTATCAATAAATAGTAATCATGATACAGCCTCATGTATACCACTGCAGATTTAAGATATCAACTTTGGCAACGAAACTTGGCGTTAGAAATATTGCATTCCTTGGTTCTGGACTCTTGTTGTTGAACTATATCAGTGCTGTATTGGCGGCTATTTACTTCCCGCAGGTAAACAATCTCTGCAGATTAAGCTTACTCAAACTTATGGATGGATTTATATGTCAATTAAACTGAAAATATCACATGTAAATACCAAACTTCTTTCTCTTTCCCGAAAATGTTTCTGAACATAATGCTGTTCTCATCTCTTTTCGCAGGCTTTCAGGGGTAGCTTAATGATACCTGTACATACCATCCTAGCAACATGTTTGATATTCCAGGTGCCCTGTTTTGATTTCTTTATGGAATATTTACCAATACAGTTAATGATTTGATCTGGGTTTTTTCCCTGCATATGGTATTCTGTTCAAGTCTCTACAGTCATGTTTATGTTGTTTGTGCTTTATCCACCATGCTATTTAGGGTATAGACAGTTATTCTTTCTGGTGGTTGTTTGTCTGTTGTTCTAATGGATGTTGTTGATGATATATCAGACATGGCTGCTGGAACAGAGGAAATATACAAAGGTACAGCATGCCTCTGGCTTACGATGCAGCAAGCATCTTTTGTGGCTACTTGGGAGCCTAATTGATTACTTCATATATTTCTTGTGCAGGAAGCAATCTCAGAGTTCTACCAGTTCATTTGGAATCTTTTCTACGCCGAGTACTTCATTTTCCCTCTAATCTAGAGCTTATGCGACCCGACCCCTCTTTTCACCTGTTTCTGTATGCTCAACCGGCTCCCCAATTTTTTTTTACTGAAGTTAGCTGCTTGTTGTTGTACTGCTGATGCTGCTGTAGAATGGGCAACAACTAAATATTCAAATCGGGTTACTTTTTGGCAAATAACAGACATTATATCATCTTTGCCGAAGTGTTAGGATTTCCATTAGTAGAAAACATCAATTGAGGTTACATTTCAAGATCCTGGCTTTCTTGTTCTACTCCCTCTCCATTCTGTCAGAGTTGAAATCCAATGTTACAGGCTTAGGAAAAAATCCCATAATACACTAATTATTAAAAAAAATTCCCAAAATACAGTACTTATAAAATTATTTCCCAAAATACAGTAGTTTGGTTATCACCGCTGCAAACCAAGACAGTGATGGACATCACCGTTTTTGACCAAAACGGTGATAGTATCATCGCTTTGGACCAAAACAGTGATGCTATCACTGTCTTGGACAAAAGCGATGATCCTTTCACCGTTTTGGACCAAAACGGTGATTGCATCACTGTCTTGGTTAAAAGCGATGAAAGATGAGTCTTGGACAAAAGCGATGATCCTTTCACCGTTTTGGACCAAAACGGTGATTGCATCACTGTCTTGGTTAAAAGCGATGAAAGCATCATCGCTTTCTACCAAAACGGTGATGCAATCACCGTTTTGGTTTAAAACGGTGAAAGGCGACCTTATCACCGCTTATGTGTAAAGCGATGATATCATCGCTGATGTGTAAAGCGGTGATAATTGACACGTTTTACCGGCCTGGTAGGTGGAAATTAGGTCACAGCTACCAAGCAATCACCGCTGAGGACAATGGCGGTGAACATATCACTGTTTTTGTCCAAGGCGGTGATTGCAAAAAAAAATTTCTATAAATACTGACCTCCACTTCCCCTATTGCTACTTTACAGAAAATTAGTACAAAAATTAGTGTTTTATTAGTCGTTTTCTCAGCTGGTTTGGAGTTGGTTTACTGCTCAAGAAACTCGTCGGGATTCGGTATGTTATAATTATGTAATGTTTACATGTTGATGTGTTAGTAATTTATATGTCTGTATTTAGTGAATTGCGGTTATTGGAAAATATGTTATGATATATTTAGATTAATTATGATATGATAGATGTTAGTTAATTAGTTATGAATTTAGATGAACTTGATTAGTTTTCTCATGATAGATCGGGAGTCGGTATGTTATAATTATGTATTGTTTACATGTTGATGTGTTAGTAATTATATGTCTATATTTAGTGAATTGCGGTTATTGGAAAATATATTATGATATATTTAGATTAATTATGATATGATAGTAGTGAATTAGTTATGAATTTAGATGAATTTGTTTAGTTTTCTCGTGATAGATCAATTACATGCGTTTGTTTAGGGGTTTGGATGATATTGTTTTTGTGTCCCTAATGTACTAATTATATACTATACTTAATTATTATAAATTGCAGACATGGTTAAATTTAAGAAGTTTCGGCTTATTATTCGGTGGAATGGTCGGGTGACAAACTCGAACATTGGCATCGACTATGAAAATGGCGAATCCACTATGCTAAAAATTGAGTCGAGATTCTCGTGGCAAGAACTTCATGACATTTGTGCAGAAAGGACTTGTACGGGCGGGCAAATGAGAGTTGGTCAAATTGCCTACCGCTATCCAAACATGAGTGCTGGCGGAGTTGTGTACGAAAAAATTGTCATAAACGATGATGACTCGGTGAACATGATGATACAGTTCCTATCTGACAACGGGTTGCGGCTTGCAGAGGTGTATGTCGAGACCGAGCCAGTCGGTGAAACTCATTCTCACCAGTATTCTTGTGATGATGGTTTTGCAGGAGGGTATGGCTGGGGTGGTAGTTCAAGTAACTACGAAGGAGGTAACTACGAAGGAGGTACTTCTGCAGGAGGGTATGGCTGGGGTGGTACTTCAAGCAACTACGGAGGAGGTAGTTATGAAGGAGGTGGTGGTTGGGAAGAATACGTGCAACCAACTGAGACGGCCGTCAATATCGTTCAGCCCGACGGTGATCAATGGCCTGCTTGGGGTCCAGAGTGGGCTGACATTGGGAACAACCTTCGATCTGGGCGTTCTTCGCATGACCAACAAGACGATGTTGGTTATGCTGGCAACGATGACCATCCTGAGTCGAGCTATCCATTCGCCTCTAGTGACGATGAAAGTGAGGAAGATTTGAGATCAGTCAGTGAGGAGGAAGATACGGACGGTATCGACGATATCGATGACAGAGAGGTGGCGTTCCGTCAGGCACCAACACCTTACTACACAGAGGTTCCTGATCAATTTTTATATGGTCAGAACGATGCCTCTGACTATCGGCCCATGCCTGTGTATAATCCGACTGCTCCTTTGGAAGTGGGTATGGCGTTCACTTCGAAAGCCGATGTGCAAGATGCTTTTAGCGAAGAAGCCATGCGCCGTAACTTCGAATGGAAGGTAAAATATTCTGACACCAAACAATTGCATATCATTTGTAAGAATGCTGGAGAGGGTTGTGAGTGGCAACTTCGGGCTGCATATATGAAGAGAAAGGGCGTCTGGGTCATGCGAACAGTAGAGAACAACCACAGATGCTCCTCAACCATACTTTCACAGGATCACCGGCAACTGAAAGCAAAAAAGGTGGCGAGAACCATTAAGCACCTAATCGAGGCACAACCGGATATCAAGATAAAAGCTATTATGGCCGAGGTGAAGGATCGACATTCCTACACCATAAGGTATAAGAAGGCGTGGCATGGGAAGCAGAAGGCCATGGCTGAGGTCTACGGTGATTGGGATGACTCGTATTATTTACTCCCTCGACTAATGTCCGCAATGGAGGAGTCCAACCCTGGGACGGTACTCGTGCCGTGGTACAACAACGTGCAAACTGAAGATCAAGTTCGTGTACATAACGAGTTGATGTTTCATCGTCTGTTCTGGACATTCAAACCATGCATTGACGGGTTTCCTTACTGGGAAGTATAAAGGAACTCTTCTCATTGCAACTGGGGTTGATGCAAATTTAAGTATTTTCCCCTTAGCATTTGCATTAGTTGAAGGGGAGAACAACTTAAGTTGGGCATGGTTCTTTGACCAGCTACACGCCCACGTCACACAAAGAATGGGTATTACAATTATATCGGATCGACATGCCGGGATTAAACACGCCGTCAATGGTTTTCCCGACGAATGGGGATGGACATGGCGCTGGTGTATTCGTCAGCAGATCGTTGTCAATATCAAGCCTCGTAAAGTGCCTCAGCATGTGCAATCCCGTCCTCTCTATATAGGGCTGCAGTCGATCATGCCAATGGGGCAATCGACATGTCCCTCGATGAGCGAAGGGAATAAGTGATTCCTACAAAACAAAAAACACAATATTATCAGTCAATAGAAAGCAAAATAAAAACTTTAAAACTATTGAAATAAATTTAGTGTGTCTACCGGATTATTGTTCCAAATTGAACGGGAGCGATGTTGATCTTGCCCGGTTAAATACCTTCGATCCCTTGGGCCAGGATCGATATACAATCGAGGGTCGTATATCTCAGCACCCATCTATAAAAAATATAAAATCAAATCAATTTAAATTTTAGCACCCATGTAAAAAAAAATCACAAAAGAATATAATTAATTTACGTACTCTCAAAGCCTCTTCGTCCATTTTTTGCCGAAAAGCTAGCGAGAGTATCGACAAAACAAAAACTAACTCTAGTAATTCTTTCTGATGCGGAAGATCAGACTTAGCCGCAACCACAGAGCATACTTAGAACGAAACTAGAGGAAAGTAAAGGAGGGAGAAAGAAGTATAAGAATTTGGTGTGGTTTGGAATGAGGGGGGGGGGGGAGTGGTATTTATAGGGGAAAGGGGGGAAAGACCCACTGGAAAAATTATCAGGGACCAATCACCGCTTCTGACGAAAGCAGTGAAATCACTGCGTCCAACAAAGGCGGTGATGGCCCTGGATTGCTGACGTGGCGCGGCGTGAGGCGTCGGATCGTGGAGAAAAACCACAATCCGCGCCTCACTGCATCCAACGGCAGCGGTGAAGGGAGAGGGTGGCGCGGATCGCTGACGTGCAAAGCGGGGCTATCACCGCTTTGGTCTTCAGCGGTGAAGTCCCCGCCCGCGTCCACGTCAGCGATCCGCGCACTTTCACCGCTTTTGGATTCAACGGTGAAGATGTTCACCGCGTCGCAAATCTACGGTGAGTTAATCACCGTCAATGACAACAGCGATGATAGCATCACTGTTGTTGTCCAAAGCAATGATGATATCACCGTTTTGGTCAAAAACGGTGATAGCATCATCGCTTTGGACCAAAACAGTGATGCTATCACCGTTTTGGTCAAAAACGGTGATGTCCATCACTGTCTTTGTTTGCAGCAGTGATAACCAAACTGCTGTATTTTGGGAAATATTTTTATAAGTATTGTATTTTGGGAATTTTTTTAATAATTAGTGTATTATGGGATTTTTTCCACAGGCTTACAGCATATAAAATGGCACAATACTAGTTCATCCATTCATAAGCAGTTAAGCACAAAATAGACCATACGAAACCGTTCATAATACATATATATTTAGACACGAGCACTTCTACTATGCTATATAGTATTGGTGCTTTAGTGTACAATTTAAAGTTGTACCATAACATTAAATGTATAAGTTTAGGTTGTACCATAAAACAATTTGTACCATTATGTTATGGTACAACTTTACAACTTGAAGTTGTACCATCACATAAAGGTAGACGTTCAAGTTGTACCATAAAAAAATTTGTACAAAAAGTATAGGTACAATCTGAAGTTTTACCATAACGTAAATGTACAATTTTAAGTTGTACCATAAAGGCAAAACCCTATAGCACCAATACTATATAGTATTGTAAAATTTCTCATTTAGACACTCGTTTGTATAGGTGTCAATCGGGCGGGTTCGGGCGGGTTCGGGCTGGGTTCAATCGGGTTCGGGTTCAAACGGGTTGCGGGTTAGTCGGGTTGCGGGTTCATCGGGTTCGGGTTCATCGGGTTCGGGTTCAAACGGGTTGCGGGTTAGTCGGGTTGCGGGTTCATCGGGTTCAGATTCAATCGGGTTGCGGGCGAATCGGGTTGCGGGTTCATCGGGTTTTGGGTCGGGCGGGTTGCGGGCGGGTCGGGTTTCGGGTTGTTCGGGCCAGCGCATCAAGTAACTTAACTCATTACTCATTACCTACTTACACAATTTATTACACTAATTTAAAATATTTTCTCAACTTTTTAACCAATTTATTTCTACCTCGTATATATATACTTTATTTTTTTGAAAAAAACTAGTCAAAATGTTAAATCAATTTGTATGACTTGCAAACTTGTAATGTAATTAATCATAATTGGTAAAGTATTATAGCTAATAGTAATGGTGATATCAATATTTGCAACCAAAAGACACCGTTAATTGTTTATTTAATATTTTAGTATTAATTCAGTAGTAATTGGATTAAAGTATCTCGTTTAGTATAACCATGCAAATCTGGTATTTGGCGTGTGGTATTTGGCAAAAGCATAGTGATAAAAGGAGTTATTTCAAAATAACTCATTGCCCAAATAACTTTAGTAAACTGTTGCCAAACGAGTTATTTGTAAAATTGTTCGAATTATCCTAAAAATTGAACCAATAAAGATTAGCTATCAAATTTAGTAAAATTATTGTGACTTCAATCATAACTTACTCAATAGCATATATCCTATACACTTAGCTTTACCCTCAATCAGCAATTTAAGTTAGTATATGTTGTTGATTGTATACCCTAAACCATCAATACATTATACACTAACCACATAACTTATACCCTAATCATATGTCCTTGAGTTGTGATTTTGCTAGTATAGTTAATTTAAAAGTGAAATTCATACTTTGATTTTCAAAACATATATAAAAAGTGATATTTGCTAATTGTTATACCCTAACCATATATCCTATATTTTACACCACACACCTTGTACACTAACCACGTACCATAAACATAAATTAAAAAGGGATCCCCTGCCGTTAAAGATTTCAAGTGAACATATGTTAATATAAAACTTAGAACCGTCAAAACCATCAATATCTTATACCCTAACCATATACACCCTAAACCATATGTACCTTATACTTTATACCCTAACCATATACTTTATATCCTAAACAAAGAACCGTCAAAGATTACTTATCAAGTTTAGTATAAATTGTTGTAACTAATGGTTAATTTATTTATTAGCCCATAAAAGATTACATACATATATACATATTAGCCTTCAAAGCATATAAGAATAATTTTAACTAGTCATGCCCTCCATATAAAAGTTAAAGATTCATATTTCAAAAGCTAAAATTATGAAAAACTAAAAAATTGAAAATACCAAATTTGTTTCCTTCTTTCTTTTCACAAAAATACTAAAATTTCCCTTCTTCTTTTTCCTTCCATACATTAGAAAAACTCAATTTTCCCTCCTCTTTCTCTTCCATAAAATTGAAAGAACCAAATTACCCTCTTCTTTCCTTCTACCAAATGTTGAAAAGTCAAAAGTTTCCCTCCTTATTCTTTTTCATAATCAAAATAATCAAATTTTCCCACTTCTTTCTCTTCCCACATATCAAAACCACCAAAATTCCCACTTGTTTCTTTTCTAAAAAATTCAAAGAACCAAATTTCCCTCTTCTTTCTCTTCCCAAAAACTTGAATACACAAAAATTTCCCTCTTCCTTTAAAAACATCAAATTACCAAATACATTACTTTACTTTATTTATATTTAATTGATAATTTTATTGAATAGTTAAATTAACCAAAATTATAATTTATATATTATATTAATATTGTCATAATCTCAAGTGACCTTCTTGTTTCAATTTTTGTAATTTTCTTAAAATACGTAATATCAAGTGAGTTTCATATTTTTAAAATTTGTTATACGAAATGAAAAAATAAATTTACTTAAGTTTATAATGAAAAACTTTATTTTGAAAAACTATGTATTGTATATTTTAATAATTATTAAAGTGGATTAGATGAAATTCGGGTTGAGTCGGTCGGGTTACGGGTTAGTCGGGTTCGGGTCAATCGGGTTCGGGTTGCGAGTCAGTCGGGTTGCGGGTCAATCGGGGTCGGGTTGCGGGTTAGTCAGGTTGCGGGTTAGTTGGGTTGCGGGTCAATCAGGTTGCGGGTCGGGCGGGTTACGGGTTGTTGATTTTTAGTCAATTCGGGTTGCGGTCGAGTTGCGGGTCGTGTTGATCGGGCGGGTTAATCGGGTCGGGCTATGTTTTCACACCTATACTCGTTTGGAAGGAAAGTAGGAAGCAGCACACCAACCCATGAGCTTGACACTCGTTTGGAAGGAAAGTAGGAAGCAGCACACCAACCCATGAGCTTGATATGATAAGAGTGATCTTAGGGTTTAAAAGCTCAGAAAAGAAAGGAAAACAACACATACACACTCCGATATGACGAACGGAAGTACAGAACACTCCCATGATACACAATCCAAGATAATAACCATGCCTCCTCAACACTCTTCGTTATTTAGTAGTAGATAGATAAGCGTGGCAGGCATAGTGTTGTTCTCCATATAACAGGGGCTGATGAATCGATCATTCATCATCATCATTGCGGCGATGGTGCTGATGCTTATAGCGATGCTTCTTCTTCTCATCATCATCGTCGTCATCCTCCTCAGAGTCATTATCTCCCTGCAAGTTCGATGCACAAGACACCAGTTAGTAAGCTCTGTAACAAGATTTTCATTCAAGCTACACCTGTGGATTGATCAAAGATCATCCCAGAAAATGCAGTCAATAACCATCCATCTACACATAACTCGTCGAGACCAATGATCAGTCCAAAGTTCTTCCAATTACCGTAGAACCAAATTTCAACCATCCATCAAAGATACATATACATAAATATATATCATAAAAAGCTTCCACCTTGTGGTAGAAAAACAGTCACTGCAGCAACGAACACAAATGAAACTTCCATATTGGAAAGTAAACTATAGATAGATGAACAACTGCTAGCAATATGCCGATATCAGAGCCACACACAGTTACTCAAGCAGCCAAATGAAAAAGGGTATGGGAAAAGCTTACATATTTCTTGCGGCCATAGCCTTCTTCACCACCACCATGGCCATACTGGCTGCGAGACTTCTCCTCATCATCGTCATCATCATCATCACTGCGGCGCCTCCCATAAGCAGGCTTCTCGGAGCTATCTTGTCTGCGGTAACCCCCAGAGCCGTAATCAGTCGTCTCCTGGCGCCTCTCATAACCTTCACCTTCCTCTCCATAGCTCTGCTTTCGCCTTCCATATTCAGACCCACCACCGCCTTCATACTCTGATGATTCAGTCTGGCGACCGTAACCAGATCCGAGCTCGGGCTCGGGCTCCGTCCTCCCTCCATAACCCGACCCGTATTCAGATTCAGTCCTGCCACCGTACCCGGATTCCTGCTTACGGCCATACCCAGATCCGTACTCAGGCTCCGGCTGCCGGCCGTATTCGGGTTCCTCCTTACGGCCATAGCCAGATCCGTACTCGGATTCCGGCTGCCGGCCGTATTCGGGTTCCTCCTTACGGCCATAGCCAGATCCGTACTCGGGTTCCGGCTGACGGCCGTATTCGGATCCATATTCAGATTCCTGTTTACGCCCATAGCCCGATCCACCATACTCGGACTCCTGCTTACGCCCGTAACCCGATCCGTGCTCAGATTCGGTTCTTCCACCATATCCGCCGCCGCCAAATCCGTATTCAGTCTCTGTCCTCCCGCCGCCGTATCCACCGCCCTCGGTCTCAGTCCTCCCGCCATATCCGCCGCCGCCACCGATCTCAGTCCTCCCACCGTATCCAGATCCGTGCTCTGACTCACCGGCAGGCCTGCCCCCGCCGGGCTGGAAGCCGTAAGCGGGACCAGGTCGGGGCTTAGGGCGGGAGTAGCTGCTGTACTCGGAGTTCAGAGCCTCGTCGCCGTAGGCAGAGGGCTCCGACTGGGACGAGAAGTGAGGGCGATCGTAGTCGATCTCGTCGGAGGCGGATTGGCCCATTGGGTAGCTGGTGTCGTCGCTTGGGGGAATTGGGCGACCATAGGTCAAGTGGATGTCATAGCCGCCGCCGTATGGCGTTGGATCGTACTCGTCGAAGTCGTCGACGGCGTCGGCATCTGCCCTGGAATAGTACGGCATTTTCGTCGGTGAAGGAGAAAGCTAATTTTTGGCTGCGTGGCGCTCTAGTTTGCGATTTGGGAAAATCGGAAGAATCTGGTCCACGAAATAGATGGATTTATACAACTATTGTGTGGAGTGGCGGAAAGAAGTAATTGTCTTGCACGGTCATCAAATTTTACGTCGGCTTAACTTAGGTCACTGAACTTTAAGCTTCAACTAATTAATGTCACATCCAACTCGCTATTGATGGAAATTTGAACCCGCCCCGTGGGTATTACCCGACCTGACCAGCGATAGGGTGGGTAATACTCGCCGCGTGTTAGCATGAGGTGGGGCATGGGTATATACTTCCGACCTGCCTTGCCCCGCCCTTCCAATTTTTGGCCCATTCTATCTCAATTTCTTACAATATCTATATATATTTTTCTTATTTTAACTTTTTTCACCTAGTTAGAGTTGATCTTTCAGCTATTTAGACTCAATTACCTATTCTATTATCACTATTTTTTATTCATAAAGGTTTTTTCATTCGTTTATCGTAAAAAACAAATCATGTGTTTTTTTCAAATAACATGTAAGAGTGAGTCGACCCGTCCCGTCTCATATCCTATGCAATGTAATCTACAAGACCCTCACAAAGTGCCTTGTCAATCGCATCAAGCCGTTAATGAGAGACCTGGTGCACCCAACCCAGACGAGCTTCGTACCGGGTAGACAGATCTCGAGCAACATCGTCATCCTGCAGGAGGTGGTCCATTCCATGAACCAAAAGAAGGGTCGAAAAGGAGCCATGGTGCTCAAGATTGATCTAGCAAAAGCTTATGATCGTGTGAGTTGGAGTTTTGTCCAGGAAACACTTACCCTCGCGGGGTTCCAGGTCAAGCTCATCGAGGTTATTATGGGTTGCATCTCGTCCCCAACAATGCAGGTTCTTTGGAACGGAGTTTGTACAGAGGCGTTCACACCTACCCGGGGCCTTCGGCAGGGCTTCCCCCTATCTCCTTACCTCTTTACGCTCTACATGGAGAGGCTAAGTCACACCATTCGCGAGGCGGTTGTTACCGGTCGCTGGAAACCAGTCGTGCTCGCACCAGGTGCCCCTCCTCTCTCCCACCTCTTTTTTGCTGACGACCTTATTCTATTTGCAGAGGCGACGGAGAAGCAAGGAGAGGTAATCATGGATTGCCTCGACCGTTTTTGCCAGGCTTCGGGCCAACAGGTGAGCAAGGAGAAGTCGGTGATGCTCTTTTCTAAGAACATGGCTCGCCCCTTGTGTTCAGAGATCTCTCGCAGAGTGGGGATCCCCATGACTCAGGACCTGGGTCGCTACCTAGGGGTCCCTGTCTTGCACGGGCGGGTCACTAAAGAAACTTATCGGTACATTCTCTCTCGCATGGATAACAAACTGTCGGGCTGGAAAGCCAAAAATTTGCCCTTTGAAGGACGAGTGACCTTGGCTATGTCGGTGCTAAACACTATGCCGACGTACGCTATGCAGACGACCCTCTTGCATGTGTCCATTTGTGATGAGATTGACAGGAGAATTAGGGGATTCATCTGGGGTTCCTCAGCTGAGACGAGGAAGATGCACCTGATTAATTGGGAAGCTATCTGCCGACCGAAGAAGGAAGGGGCTGGGTTTCAGGAAGGCTCATGAACTTAATCTAGCTCTAAGCTAAACTTGCTTGGCTTTTCATGAAAAATCTAGAGGAGTTGTGGGTGTAGGTGTTGCAGGCGAAGTACTTTAAGGTGGTGGAGGGCCAGCTGGTGGCTAAATCCGCGGCTAGAGTCTCAACGCTCTGGCGAGGGATACGAAAGGCATGGCCGGTGATGGTGAGTGGCACCGCTATGAGTATCAAGGACGGTCAAACAACGTCGTTCTGGACAGATAGGTGGATTGACAGTGGGGAACGGCTGCTTGACCATGTGCGAGAAGAGGCGTTGCCGGTTAACCCCTCGGATGCGGTGGCACAGTTCGTTACGCCAGCAGGTGAGTGGGACATTAATCTCCTGCGATCCCTTCTTCCTGAGGAGTATGTTTTGCAGGTTCAGGGAATCCAACCCCCTATGGCGGATTCAGGGAGCGACGTTGCTACATGGGGGCCTGAGGAGGATGGGAGATTTCGAGTTCGCTCCGCTTACGAGATTGCCCGCAACCATGAACAACTAGATCGAGAATTTGACTGGAGGATCATCTGGAAGTGGAGCGGACCGGCTCGAGTGCAGCATTTCATGTGGCTGGCGGCTCGCGAGAGGATTCTCACCAACATGGAACGAGGAAGAAGACACCTGACGACCCAGACTGCTTGCACCCATTGCTGCGACTCACCTGAGACAGTCATGCATGTGTTGCGGGACTGTCAATTTGCCCGGTTAACTTGGATGCGGCTGCTCCAACCTTCTGATTACCAGACCTTTTTCAGTTTACCCTTGCAGGAATGGATTGCGAAATACCTTCGAGAAGAGCAGACGGGCCTCTCTTTTGGCCTTACCTGCTGGTCTCTTTGGCGGACCAGGAATGACCGCGTTTTTGCGAACAAGGTCACTACAGTTGAAGCTTTCCTACAGCGCATCCTGGCCTGGATAAATGTCGTGAGGACGGCTATGGATAAGGACCGGACCCTTCATCACCCGAGTCCGCCCGCTAGAACGGAGGAGCTGATCTCTTGGAAGCCCCCTCCTCCTGAGTGGGTTACTCTCAACTCTGATGGCTCCTTACACCATGGCACAGGCTCTACTGCTGTGGGAGGCCTGTTGCGAGATCATCCAGGGTGCTGCGTGGCAGCGTACACGATTAGCCTGGGGATCTGTTCGATCACCAGAGCTGAGTTGAGAGGCACTGTGGAAGGGCTTCAACTGGCTTGGGATCTGGGATACCGTCGCATGAGGGTGGAGCTTGACTCTCGGTGTGCCATCCATCTTATTAGCAGCAACGCGAACCCGGACCACCATCATGTGTCGATCATTGACAGCCTCCAAGCCTTAGCTAAGCGTGACTGGGAAGTTGTTTTCTCCCATGTTTATAGGGAGGGTAATAAGTGTGCTGACTTTCTTGCGAACTATGGCCATTCTATGCCTTTAGGTTTTCATTTCATTCCTGCTAGCAACCCCATGTTGATGTATTGGATTTTGTATGATTCTCAAGGGCTTTCTGAGCCCCGTCTGGTTATGAATGAAGGTTAGGATGCACTGCATCCATTTATCAAAAAAAAAAAAAAAAGAAATTTGAACCCGCCTCGTGGGTATTACCTGACCTGACCAGTGATGGGGTGGGTAATACTCGCCGCGTGGTAGCATGAGGCGGGGCATGGGTATATACTTCCGACCTGCCTTGCCCCGCCCCGCCCAATTCTTGGCCCATTCTATCTCAATTTCTTACAATATCTATATAGATTTTTCTTATTTTGACTTTTCTTCACCTAGTTCGAGTTGATCTTTCAACTGTTTAGACTCAATTACCTATTCTATTATCACCATTTTTTATTCATAAAGGTTTTTTCATTCGTTTATCGTAAAAAACAAATCATGTGTTTTTTTCAAATAACATGTAAGAGTGAGTCGACCCGTCCCGTCTCATATCCTCATAGGGTTTTACCCGACCCTACCCGTAGTAGCATGGGGCAGGGCATGGATATTGAGGTACCTGCCCCGCCCCGTCCCATTGCCATCACTACAACTCGCTCATGTTTCTTTTTGTTCTCTAAAGTTTGAGTCTAGTGGTTTGCTCATCTTCTTTGTGTAGCGATAAGCTTATCCACCGTCGAGAAATCCTAAATTCCCAATTGTGATTCTTGTCTAAAATTTTGCTTATTTTGCATACACTTGTCATAATTTAAATATATAAGTATTTAATTACAAATTATTTAATAAATAACAATAATAATTTATTATATCCAAATAATTCATTCATAGATTAAAAATAACCGACTATACAATCATTGTTTTCATAAACAACCACGAAAGGATTTCATATTGTGAAAGAAAAGCAAAAGCATTCTTTATCTACACTATTAAATAAGTCTCTTTCAACGTATCTCACTAAACAAGCACTAGCAAACTGGTCGCCAAATCGACTTATTTGTTCCTAATATAACACAAAGTTGAAAATGTCCTTTTTACACTTGTAGTTGTAATTGGCAGAATCAAAATTAGTGGAATTGTCGTTGTCGCTAGACAATTTCAGATTATTGAGAAAAATATTGAATAGCCATAAGGAGAAAAGAGATCCGATTAGGTTTCTTTCATTCAAGCGAAAACAACTTTTTAACATCTTCCATTAGTAGCGCGCAACCCAAGTTATCTTCCATGCTTGTCAACTTCAAAATTCCCAGCCTTTTATATAGAGCAGTCTACCTACTATGGAGGCCCTTGTTGAGAAGAAGGTGTCGGTGCTTCCACAGTGCCCGGTTTGCTGGGATGAATTGGAATCCTTGGAGCATTTATTCCTTTATTGCCCAGTTGCTCGGGCTATGTGGGATTATTCCGGGCTGGAGTATCTGGGTGAGGGGCTTCCAAGGCAGACTTTTCCCCTTTTTCTCAAGCGGCTAATGTCCCTTATTCATTAACCTTCTATGTTCATGGCTGTGATTGTCGTCCTCTCGCGGATTTGGAAGTCCCGCAATTGGGTAGTATTTGAGGGAAAGCAGTTTGGTTTCTTGCCTCTCATGCGCCAGTTTCATCAGCAATATGAAGAATGGACGCGATTGCCTGGCAACCCAGGTGGTTTTTGGGTTGGTTTGTAGGTGGGATGGGGCAACAAGAACGGGCTCACATTCTGCGGGTGGCATGGTTGTGCTCAGCTCAGAGGGTGGGATCCTGATGGCTTACGGGGTCCAGTTCCCGATTATTGATGATCCTTTAGTTGCTGAGGTACTGGCGCTTCAGGAGGCTGTGCAGTGGTGTCTAGCTCAAGGGTTTAATGAGGTTCGCTTTGAGGGGGATGCGAAGGTGATTATCGACAAAATTCAGCGAATGGAGGCAGAGGATAGTAGGGTGGGGGCTGTTCTTATTGAGGTGGTGCAATTATTTGCCCTCCATCCTGGTTTGAGTATTCGATTTGTAGGTCGGCGTAGTAATAGGGTAG